AAACAACATAGTGCAGGGGTGTCCAATCCTGGCCTTTGAGGTCCACTCCTGCATGTTTTAGAGGTTTCTCTGCTCCAACACACCTGAGTTGAATGAGTGGATGGTTAACAGGCTTCTGCAGAACTTGAAGAGGTAATTCAGTCAGTGAATCAGGTGTGTTGGAGCAGGGAAACAGTCCAAACATGCAAGAAAGCAGCCCATATGGACCTGGATTGCACATCCCTTACTTAGTGTACTGGTGTATATAATGTGTAGCACTGTGAAAATGAATGTGTAACACATTGTAAAGTGCTTGAAAAATCTGTATGAAATTTTAAAGGTGCTTTATAAAATTGGAGAATTGATGATCTGTTGATATCATAGGTCGTCGATCCATAGATAATTTTATTTAAAAACATGTAAAACAAAATCCACATTTCAGCAACGCAACATAAAATCTGATGACAAATGACCACTCATGTTTTAATTTGTTAATGTTTTTGTCTCTGTTTTCTTGAAGTGAATGCCCGCGGCTGCAGCTTCGCTGGCGTGTTTCAGGCTGAGGGGGCAGGTCGCCACAGTCTGACCTTCGAAATGGCTAAAAAGGTGTGTGAGCAGCTGGAGAGTGTCCTGGCAAGTCAACAGGATGTTGAGGAAGCATACAACAGGAGCATGGAAACCTGCAGGTAGCACATTGTTTTTGTTTGCTAACTGATTTCACAAAATGGTAACAGCTAATTTATTTTTATTGAAAATGTTTAAATATTACACTTATTAGTTGCATTGAATTGGATGCATTAGATACAGCAATAGGTTTAAATAAACATCTAAACATTTGTTATTAATTAATTTACATATGAATGCTAAATTCCTATTTTTTTGTTCTAAGAACCCAGGAATTCTATGGTAATAATGTATCACTATCATTGCATATTGAACATCTTCCTCATATCCACTTGTCCTGTATTTTGCACAATGCCCACTAAAGACAGCAGATCACATTTTGTATCAAACAACATTCAACGTTTTTAAAACTAATACTTCTGTATTCATTAAGATATGGTTGGATCAGCAATGAAAGCATCGCCATCCTCAGACACAGACAACATGAAAACTGTTCAAAGAGCATGATTGGATTAATTCGTCATTCAACGACAAGTCCTGATGATAAATATGATGTCTACTGTTATGATAAAACAGGTAAATTTCTCTTCATAAAGTAGGTAGGAACACTACTTTGCATTTAATTGTCTTTTTGACATGCTTCTCCATTTTAATAATGTTGTTTTTCTGGTTCTTTCTGTTGTAGCTGGGCTTAAGAAGAACTGTACCAAGGCCTTTAGAATAAGTGGTCAGTACAATAAATACTTTCACTTTCCTATTGTTGTAATAAGTTTCAACAGCAAATTAAACATTTTTACTATAGCTTTTTTAATAGAATAATGTTGGTCATCCATTAATGTGCAGATCCAAATATAGAATTGCAAAAAATAATTAAGCTAAGAAAAGCAAAAGGAAACCACCTCACTTAAATGACCTCACTTCCACATTGAAAGGAACTTATAGCTTATTGGAGTAAACATATCTCCAGTTTAACAAGTAGATTAGGCTGCAGTTTGCTGTAAAGATATACAAAATTTTCTTACTCTGGTCTGAACTTTATTTTTTTCTGTGTCACCTTCTTTTCGTTTTACTAAGCTTATTTTGTAGGTTTATTTTGTTTCCTTGGTTTGTACTTTGTTAGCCAAACTTCCTGTTTTATTTTGATAGATCCTGTGTCTTTCCTTGCATTTATCCTGTCATGCTTGGTTGCCAATTGCCACACAACTGTTGTTTGTTGTGTGATTATTTCATCCCAAGTTGGCCTAGATTCCTTTGTTATTTGTCAGATCCCTGTCATTTCATTGTTAAACTTGTCATATGATCAGTTTTCAAACCATGTCTTGTTTATTCTGCCCCTGCAGCATCCTTAATTCAAGTTTTTCTCTCTATTGCTTGACTTTCCCCCACTTCTGCATCCTGTATTTAGGTCCTTTCCCTAATTMTACAGCGTGGAATGCATCTAAAATAAAATAAATAGCATTTCCTTTTAGTGGGTTATCCAAAAACTTGTTCAAAGTGAGCGTGTTTCGGCATGGTTTTCTCTATTGGACAGCGTTTAAACACAAAACTTACTGAATAATTAACAGATAAAAATAAACACGTGAATTTAACCAAATAATAATATCAAATATTTTCTTTATACTCATGTCACTCTAACAACTCTTGTAATTTTCTTTAATTGCTTCCTTTGATGAATAATGTACTGTAGTTGTCAATCATTGGATGTTTTAATAGCATGCTTTGAGGTACAGCTAAGCACGTCTTACAGGAAAATTGTATAAAGTTTGGATTCACCTATTGTTTTACATCAATGGCAGCATGAAACAAGTGTAATTTGCTTCAATATTTTAAAGTCATTTTATAATAGATGCAGCCATGTTCTTCTAAAAATTCAAAACATATCAAAAGTTATGGATGTTTAAAACAATGTGTGTTTATACCCCATATGGCAGAAGTCTCAACTGAAGCAGAGACAGACACAACTCCAACCTCCCAATCTGATGACACTGTTTTCACGGAGGCTGATCGTCCTACAGCAACCACTGAGGCTGACAAGGAAACTATAGTTGTGACCACTCAAGCAAATACTGCACCTGCAGAGCTGAGTACAGAAGTTGTCCCTGGCATTCCTGATGGTGGAGAATTTCTTGGAGGGACTGACAGCAGTACCACTGAAGCAGACACTGGATCTGGGTTACCACTAGATCCCTCTATAAAGGCCACGGATGAAGTGCCACATACAGCACCACCGCCTACTAAAAGTGAGTAACGATGCAACTAAGCATCTGGGTAAAACTGTCAAAGCAAAGTACACAATATTAACTCTTAGGTTGAAAATGACAAAAAATTGTAAGCCAGAACTGGACCGAGCCAACCCTGATTAGATTGAACTCAACAGGATTGGGTTATCAGTTAGACCAGGGCTATTCAACTGGCGGCCTGCTGGCCACATCCAGCCCGCGAGTGACCAAAATGCGGCCCGCACATTGATCTCTTAAACCGAGACCACCAGTTTTCTACTTTAATTACTAGGAGTTCTTTTAGTTCAACATAGACATATTTGGTATCTACAGAAWCATCAGAATCCTGGCTACAAGCTGGTTAAAACCATTTCTATGCACACCTAAGACAGTGAAAACTACAAGCAGCTGAAGATAAAACTATGAAAGTAAAAACAAAATTGGTTTAAAAAGTTGGCAAGTCAGAGATGTCAAAATATTAGGTAACAATTTATTTTACAGTACCTTTTTAGCATGTAATGACATGGTAATAAGATGGTAAATCTTGTAATTACACATTATTACAGTGTAATTTCATGGTAATTACCATGTAATTAAAATGTTATTTCCATGTAATTATATGGTAATAACCATGTAATCAAATAAATATAATTACCATGCAATTTCGTGGTAATTATATTTTTAATAACATGGTCATTACTATGCAATTACATGGAAATAACATTTTTAATTACATGGTAATTACCATGAAATTACACGGTAATAGTGTGTAATTGCAACATATTGCCATCTTATTACCATGCGATTATCATGTAATTACATGCTAAAAAGGGCACTGTAAAATAAAGCATTACCAAATATCATTAGTGATAAATATGTATGATGTGTAATTTTTGTTTTTGATATTGCTTTATTATCACTAAATTTATTACATAGGGTTCTGTATGTTATATCCATGATTAAACGCAGCAAAATAAACTATTTCAAAGGCAACAGATCTTTGGTTTATTCACAAAATAACTTTAATTGCTGGATATTTGGCCTCTCAGCTGTTGGCCTGCATTAACAGTGGCCCCCAGAGCAATTTAGTTGAATAGCCCTTAGTTAGACCCTGCATACTGGGTCAATTAAGTAACACAGTTTGGTAAAATAAGCATTTTGTTGAATTAAATCTACTAAAATGTTGAGTTAAAAATATCACAACAAAATCTGAATTATTAGATCATTAAGTTACCTAGCTGGCATAAACTGCAACAAATGTTTTTTTTTTTTTTTTTTGTATTTTTTTTCTGCCTGGATTATTGAAATGCATCAGGACATTATTATTGAAACCCAAATTCAATGTACAAACTACAGTGCAAATTAATTGTTAACAAAGCCAACTGGTTAAATATCATCTTACAAGTATTTTTCTTTTCCTTTTTTTTTACATCCTAAAGCAGAGGTCAAGTCAAGTTCAATTTGGCTAACGTCTGACCTAAATTGGTGGACTGTGTTTGGGTTTATTTGTGTCATTACTGCATGGAGAAATGCTTATTACACGAGAACAACACCTCCTAAAATCTGATGCAACAAGTTTTCAGGAGGCTGAAGCAACTTTAAGAACATAAGGACGCCCTCTTGTGTCAGCTAAAACACATTTAAAGTTCAAGAAAAAAAAAAAATACAGCTCAGCTAAACTTGAGAAAAAAAAATCTTTGGAACAACACAAGCAGTTTCTTGTGATTTGAGCCAATTTGATATATAATATAAGGGGAAGTTAGATGAGTTTATTATAGTTGTACTTAAGATGGGTTGAATTAACTTTCATTGTATTTCTGTGTAGCTGCAGATCAGACACCCAAGAAAGGTAGAGCCTTGACTCCGCCTGCATCTGACGATGAAAAACAGGACAACCACACTTCATCGGGTGAGCTGCTCCAAACATCCTCACTGACTGCAGTCGAATAATGCCTGATGACGGGAAAAACTGGGTGTAATTCATGTTTTCTTTTTCTATACTCATTTTAACACTGCAGTAACGCACTGTTCATTTTTTGTTTGTTTCTCCAGATTGGCTCGTCATTATTATTGTGATTTTGGCAGTGGTTGCCATTTTCATTGTTTGTGTAGCTGTCGCCAAAAGCAAAAGGTATGGCTTTGATTTGGAAATCTCTCTCGATGTTTTCATGGATCATTTTGGCAATTATAATGTTTCACTTTTCATTATTTTTGCTGCAGATTAAAGTTTATATTTTTAAAGAGTATGCATTTTAGAAATGACTGAATGTGCTTGTCTAGCTGGTGCGGCAGGAAACAAACCCTGATGATCACAGCCAAAGATGGCGGCGAAGGCAACGGGACAGCAGCGGCGGCTTCGAGCTCCCACAACCAGGACAGAGAGCAGGAAATGGTGACCCTCATGAACAAAGAGAATATCCAGGAGAATGGCAACACAGAGGAGTTCACCGTCATCAAACTAGAGGAATCACCAGACAAAGACCAGCAGGCGTGAGAAGGTCAGGTGCAGACAAAGGGTGGGAAGGATTGGGTGAGAAGACAGAGAGGAAGAAGAAAGAAAGGAAAGAAGACAAGTTGGGATTTGGGCCAAAAACAGTGGGTTTGTAAACTGCTTTCAGTGAGCAGCAGTGAATGGACACTGAGTAAATTAAAAACAAGCATGGATGTTTTATTTTAAGCAGTTCATGAGCTACACAACTGTTGTCTTTAAAAGAAACCAGACCTTTCATTATAAAGAGCAACAAATTGTTTGTCTAGTGAGATTTTAGTTAGGACTAAATCCTGGTCACCAAAGTGTGGAAATGGCTTTTCTTTTTATTCACTTTAGTGTGTTCATGAGTTTGTGCGCTTTGTAAATGACAAAGCCTAATATAAGAGTTTGAGGTGTGAGATGATTGGTTGAGAGCAATTTGGTTTTGTGTTTGCAAATGGCCCAATAGGGTCAGGAATTAACTGAATCCTTAAAACAATAAGGCCCAAGTGGAAAATAAATTAAATCCATCAACTATTTGTTTCTTTTTAACTTTAAAATTTAGATGGAAAACCATAAACATGTGTATTATTATTATTGTTATTATTTTTTTTCTTTTAAGCCTACCATAGTTATTTTTTATTTTATTTGAATTACTGGAATATGGTTGCTGTCTGTATTTTTCCTACATTTCACGTAGGCTGGTATCAGTTTTTTTTTTCAACAAATAAACAAAAAAACTGAGATCTTAATTATATTATTCATGTACTATGATTTACTTTGTTTATTCTGTGTACATACAGTGTATCTTTGACAATGACTTTGAAATAGCTGCCAGTACTTTTTTTTTCTGTGATTTGGTAGGAAGTGGCTCTGCTCCCTTCAAGTAAAGAAATGTTTCTGCTTTTGAGACTTATTTAATTAGAATCTGTACCTCAGAGGTAAATGTCTGCAAATAGATTTTGCAAAAGTCAAATTTGCAGTGTATGATGTATGAATTCAACTTTGTGTATAGTTTCAAAACGTGAGCAATTCATGCTCAACTGAATCAGTTGTTATTATATTGGATTTAAAATGTGATATTTTGATTGCATTATAAAGAAAACCATATTAATGGTGGATGCAAAATATATACATGAGGTAGAAAGTGAGGGTTTGTAAAGCTAGCAAAAAAAAGTTGACACCTCCAGCACATTAATTGCATCTATTTTAACTCAGTTTTGGTAAATAGTTAATGTAAGTCAAGCTGTAAATTCTGAACTAAATATCATATCAAATATTGAAAGGCTAATCACTGTAACCAAAGCCTATATGTTTTTGTTTTTTGTCATGAAAACAAGACCATGACATTGTTGTCTGTTTGCTGCCTAATTGAAAAAGTGTGAAAAATGAAGCTTGTATGCCAGCTGCTCTTTACATTTTCAACATGTTAACTAAATGCTGCAGTTTTTCTACTGAGCTTACTGTAGTTTGAATGTATCCCCACATTGTGTCATATCAATATCAATCCATGTGCGACTGCTGTGTTTTCCATGGATTTGACTAAAAAGCTGGTTTACACACAGTCCTAGCAAACAGATTTTTTCTAACTTGTCTTTTTTTTTCACTTTTTCTCTGCTTTCTGAAGAGGCAAATGTATTAGACTAGGCAGGTTTCATGGTACATTTACAAAAGAAGAAAAAAAAACATGTTGTTGGAAAGATTTGTAAAGTCGTGAATAAAATAAACGCGTACAGACAGAGGTACGCTGGAACATCGTGTTCACTGACTAATTATTGTCCAAGTGTGGGAACAAAAGGAAGCGATTGAACGGCATGAGAGGAAATGCATGTTGCATTGCTCCCACGTAGGAGGAAGTAAGGTTACCATGGCGCCGGGTTCGAGATGCGAGAATATGTTAACACAGGAAGCGAGGACCGAGACAAAGATTGCCATTTTGAAAGATGCAGATGGCATCTTTCCAGTACTAAGATGCATGCAGTGCTGTCAAGCTGACAGGAGAGCACAGCAGCTGTTTTTGTTGCACACATTAATTATAAAGTACACCTAGTATTTTAACACTTTCAGTGTAGGACAATGTGAAGCAAAATGTTTAAGATCTTCAGAAGAATYAGCTTGAGATTTACAACAAACATTTTATATAATTTGTTAATAAATTGGTGTATTTTCAAGTTTTACAGGTGACAGGTCTTTATATTGAAATAGTGAAAATTGTTGATTGCACATATTTTCCTGGCATTTCAAACCACATAGAATTGCTATATATTTTTTCTTTTTTCTATTTTTCTCTGAGGGTGAATATAAATATTTGCATGCAAACATTTCTGATTTTTTGTACTTTCATTTAAACATCATAAAACTTTTTAATTTAGTTTTTAATTTTACTTGTTTTATTTGTAGTGGTGGTCATTTAAAGAAAATTTTCAGATTAAAAATGTAATTAACAGAAAAAGACTGATGGAGGTCAAATTATAGATTCCTGTYCTTGGATTATATAATTAAGCTTGATGAGTCATTTAACAAAACAGATATTTGCCATCTGTTAGTACTCAAGCATTACAAAATACTTTTTTCACTCTTACTTGAGCAGTTTCTTGGATGACTAATTTTTACTTTTACTTTAGTAAAAATACGTTGAAGTAGTCCTACTCTTACTTGAGTACATATTCTGGGTACTCTACACACCTCTGGCAATTTTCACATTTATTTTAAAAGTAAAACATTTTTCACATCAATTTTAAAAGTAATGTGACTATTTACATTTACTCAACTCAGCAGATTGGAACCAGTTGAGGTAACTTGGTTATGTAAAACCAACACAGCCGTTGTAAAAAATATATTTTTCTAAACTTGAGCTAAAAAAAGAGAAGTGATTTATGCAACTAAAGTGCTGGAGTGTATGAATACCAACCAAACTGTAAACACAATATTTGAAGTGTTTTGGTGCCGTAACAAAAAAAAAATGTGCAAAAATCATATTAATACAACAATCTTCAAAGATCAGACAGAGTTTAGTTATGAATCAACATTTATTAGTTATATTTGTATATGTACACCAAAGGTACAACATTTGATATGTAGAAACACGTTTTTTGTATACCTTAAATCAAGGACAGAAAGTTTCTTCTATTTCCCTCCCAGTTGCTTATTTCCCMCCACACAAACTCTCTGATTACAACAGCTTTACAGTGAGGGCAGGCCTAAACAATTAGGATAATAAAAACCCATTTTAGGCAGCGGGGAAACAGACTGTTTCTCTTGAAGCTTTGTTTAAGACACATTTCAGTAGAACAGGAGCGACCTAAAGATAATCTGGCTTTTGGTCATGTAAAACATTTTCATGCCGTAAACCACTTAGCGGAACAAGCGTCAGGTATGTGTGCACAAGTGTCAGTGTAAAAAAAACAAAAAAACAAAAGGCATTGGGAGTAAAGGCAGTTTACAGAGTGAGGGGGTTCTATGGACTTTTTTAATAGTGTGACAGTGGTGGAATGTGTGAAAATACTGAAGGCTGACACAGTTTCTAACAAATATTCATGTCCTGCAGCTTTAAACGGACTCGCACCAGTTCAAATATAGATGAATGTTTCAGATAAGTCACCTGAAGATTGCTGTTCTTTTCTGTAAAAAAAGAAAAAGAAAAAAAGAAAGAAAAAAGGCATCTAGAYGCCTTGTATAAGTTTGTTCTGTCACTCAAATGAACTTCCTGRCCGTTTTTGTTTCCTCGCTCTGACCTGCACCAAAGGCCAATTTTGAACACTTTAACGTTGCTGGCTTTAGAACCCCAATTTCACCGTAAATGAGTCAGATTGGCCCTCTTTTCAAACCAGAAACTTCCTTAGTTTTCCTCATTTAACTCTTCATCTTTCCTTCCTCACTGGGTTTCTTCCTCTAAGTCATGCAAAGTGTTTGTTTCAGGATCACTAGCATTTCAATAAATTTCTTAATTGCCACTGAACAGAACAATTATATATTTATGTATGTACAATGAAAATGAATTCACACTGCTTATATATTTATGGAACAAACATTCAAAACGCTTACATTAGATACAAAAAAAGATATTTATATACTGTTGTGTGACAGGTGAGTAAAACAGCTAGTTAACAGCAATTAGAAAACAAAAGACAAAAACAAAGCAGTTTATTACATGAGATCATCTATGCATTTCATCTAGTTTAATTTTACTCCAGACATAGATGTTTGTTTTTATGTCTACATTAAAAATAGCATGGCAATGAAACTATATAACTATACCATTCCAATGCCCCTCAAAAGAAAAAAAACCATAAAGAGAGAAGAAAATAATAATCTGTTACCTACAATATTTACACAAAGTGCAAGGAGGCACTTCAAAATATCATGCTTTTAGGATAGTGGTGCAAAAAAAGTATAGCATTTTTATTTAGTTCATGCATGTTTGAACATAGTAGTCATCCTACACTCATTCCCTYTGTTGACATAGATGTCTGCATTGCCTCCTCACCTGAGACATGAATATTTCGATTTTCAGTAATGTGCTCTTCAGAATGCTGAGTACTATTATAGAATCAAATCATTTTAGGTGTTTAATACATTTTTATCTGTTTGGATGTGGGAAAGAAACACATGGTTAATTGTATGAGTCTGTATGAATCAGTCGCACCACGTCACTTCGCTGAAAAGTGTGTGTGTGTGTGTGTGTGTGTGTTTCAGGAACGAAAAGACAGTGAAGCGCTAAGTGAGGTGTTACGTTTTCTACAGTTTAAAACTGTGTTGTTTGATTTGAACACCTTCAAGGCAAGGTTCTGCACAAGTTAAAATAAAAAAAAGGAGTTGCAAATCCACACCCGCATCGCAGAGGTTGCATCGCTCACATAGGCTAACATAGCAATGCAGCCAGTTTTTTTTTTTCTGCTTTGTTTTGTGTGCTTTTGTCAAGTTTATGTCTTTTATTAATCAGAGGCAGACGGTCTAACAACCTGATAGTCGGCTTAAACTTGGCACAATATAAATGACTGTGTACATCCCTTCCTAACGTCTGACTCTCATTAATAAGAACAGCTGCAGCATAAAGGTTTTGTAGAAACAGTCTTGAGCTCTGGTGACAAAAAATATGGATGTTTTTTTTCAGGTGTGGCAGTTAAATAGCCTTCCCAAAGTGTTGCATTAATGCTTCTGAGCAAACCATAACCTGCCTGACATCTGAGTGTTGCACCACYCTAATTCTTTTCTAAAAAGTGTATTTCTGCTGCGTTGCCTCTTGTGCTTTATCAGTGTTCAGTGTGCTTTAAGGAAGTAAACATACTGTATTATTCAATCACTGCAGGTGTGCTTTATTTTATGTGCTGGGAATGTTCATTTTTATACAGTTTTTCAATAAAGTTCTTCATCACAAAAGGAAAAAATTGCAGTAAATGTCAACTATTTTGTTGACAAAGCTTTTGATTAATAGACTGATGAGAGGCCATCTTATTGAGGTGAAATGTTCAAATAATTGAGTAAAGTTTTAAGAGTCTACATTTTTTTTCCTGTAAAAAATCTGCATATTTGTGTGAGTATTTACTTTCACTTGCAGTGTTTGTAAACTTATTTSAACTGCAGTCAATTTTCACTCGAAGCAATATTTTTTTTCTGATTATAGCGCTGACTGGAAACTCACCTCCCTGGCATTTTGGCTTCATTTGTGCTCTTATACTTTATTTATATTCTATTTATTCTCTATAATTTATTCAGGGTTTTGTACATAAATACTTTCATAAAAAATCTCTTAATTTCAATGGTATCAAGAAGTYACTTTGGGGCTAAAGGGGGAAAGTGCTCTGTGGCATTTAATACTTAGGGCAGCAGTTGTCTTTTTGTGTTTCACAGTGGAAAATGTGAGAATGGGTGGCATGTGATGAGGCGGTGAAAAGCCTCACCGAGTTGATTGATTTTATGCCAGTTTGGTCCCTTTGTATCTGTTTTTAAGCACTCTCTCATTATCAACTTGTGACACAAACAAAATACTTTTGACTTTTAATTCCTGGATAGGTAAAGCT